AAAATAATTTTCCTTGATTCCTCAGTTTCTAACTCTCCCCCTACCGATTCGGGAACTGAGTCATGATTTAAGCATAGAGTTATAGAGTTGGTGACTATTAATTCTACCATTTAGAGGTAGCTGCAGTAGTAGAGGAGTAGTGATGATGATGATCATGATGATGATGATAATGTAGTAGGGGAGTAGTGATGATGATGATCATGATGACGATGATGATGATGGTAATAAATGAAGAGAAGAAGAGGAGGAGGAAGAAGAACTCATGAAAAAAAAGAAACAGAAGCAGCAGCAGTAGCTCGTGGTACCATCTTTGGTATATGCTCTGCCTGTGATGTGTAAAATTCGTTTCCTACATTAATTTTCCTTGTTACTTCAATATTTAATTGCTTTCCCCTCAAAACAAAATCTAGAATTGAGACAAAACTTGGATTCAGAGATGAATATAGAACTAGTGGATTCTATACTCTAGAAATGGTAATAATTCTAGTATCAATAATGAAAATAGTAGCAGTAGCAGCCACAACAGTAGCAGCGACATCTTTTGGCTGCATACTGTGTTTGCCCTGTTCAAAATATGTTCCATAAATTATTTTCTTTAGTCTTTCTACAGATGAAAAAGTTGAGCCTCAGAAAACTTAAAAGCCAAAACACTAACATGGGCAAGGCTGGGGCTTGATCCCCCACCCACAGATCTGTATACTTCCCAGACCTATCTATGCTCTTTGCCTCTCTTCACCAGGTGTGAAGTTCTCATCTGCCTTTCTGGCTCACATAGCTTTCTGAAAACAGTTCTCCTTTTTTATTGAAATATAATTGACATATAACATTGTTTATAATTGACATGTAACATTGTACACATTTAAGAGGCACAAAGTATTGAATTGCTACATTTATATATTGTAACATGATTGCCACCCTAGCCCGTTTCTAGCAACTCTTATCAAGTCACATAATTATCATTTCTTTTTTTGTGGTGGAAACAATTAAGTGCTAGTCTCTTAGCAACTTATAATACCGTATTGTTGACGATAATCACTATGCTGTGCATTAGCTCTCCAAGACTTATTTATCTACCAGTTCCAAGTTTGTGCCCTTAATGAATCTCTTTAAACTTACCACCTAAAATATAGCAACTGATTGCTGGGTGTCTCCACTGAAGTGCCTAAGTGACATCTCAAACACATTATCTAAAATGAAATAGGCCAGCTCCTCACCACCACTCTTGGCTCCCACCTGTCCTTTGTCTTGCAAACACCTCCTACCCTACCCTGTAACCTGTCATCCTGGGGTGCTCCTTTTTCCTCTCCCCATCCAAGCACTTGACAAGTCTAGTTGCTTATGTCTCCTGACTTAAATATCACTGGCACAGATGCTTCATTCCCTTCAATCCTCACTGCCTCTCCAGCGGAGCCCTCCAGGTGTCTCACCTGGATCATAGCAGATGCATCGCTGCTGCTGTCCTGCATCAGCCGAGCCTCCCCAACTTCCTGTCCCACGGGACTCCCTTCTGCCTTCTCCACTACCTTGAGACTTAGTCTAGTAGTTGCTTATTCTAAGGGGCTTTCTCTGATCCCCAAAAATCAAGGTTAGGTCTCTTTTCTCATGTTCAAAATACTGGCAAACAGTGTTATGAAACTTCTTTGTATTTGTTACCCCCACCCTTTTTTTGAAAAGATTTATTTATTTATGCATATAAGAACTGGGGTAGGGCCTCCTCTGCTGTGGAGCTGTCCGCAGCCTCTGCAGCGTGGGTTGGATTCCCGGCTGGCCTGGGAGATGCCCGCATGGCGTGGCAGACCTCTCCTGCCTCACCTGCTGCTCCCCTCAGCACTGTCTTTGGTCTGTCTGTCTGTTCTGCTACCCATTCTGTCTCTGGTGAATTCTTTCACCCTCCCATGCCTCTGACCTGTACCCCAGTGCTTGTATAAATAAATAAATCTTTAAAAAAAAAAAGAGCTGGGGTACAGGCCAGAGGTGTGGGGGCTGAGAGGATTCACCAGAGACAGAACAGGTGGATGGACTGAAATACACTGCTGAGGAGAGCAGCAGGTGAGTCAGGAGAGGTCTGCTGCACCATGTGGGTAGCTTCCTGGCTGGGGATCAAACTCGTGCTGCAGTGGCTACAGACAGCTCCATAGGCTGTGTCTTAACCCCTTGTACCACTAGGGAGGCCCTATATTTGTTACCCCTTAATGGATGTGAGAAGAATCATAATTGGCATGATTTTGTACCAGAGCAGTGCCGAATCAGCATTCAGGGAACCTAGTATTGAGCCCTGTGTGCACATCTTACCTAATCTCTTGGGGCTCGCTTTGGAAATATGAGAGTATTGCATTGGGATCATGGGGTTCAGTTTGTGTTGTCCTTGGAACTCCATTGTTAAGCTCTTTTCTCAAGAGTTTCGATTTGGAAGTTGACATCAACAAAATGTGCAATCTAAGGTAGAGTGTGGTCCAGAGGCTCAGCAGGGCTGTCTGTCCCTCCTTCCCAGCTTCCAAAGGGTCTCGGAGAGGCAGAGAGCGCCTCTGGCCCAGAGGATCTCTGGAATCTCTTCTAGCTCCCATTCACTCATTGTGTCTTAGAATATTATTTTCACTTAATTTTTTCAAAAAAGAATCATCTGTTCTGTGCTGTTGTGACTTGGAAGGTTTAACTGACTTCAGTTTGGTGCAATTCAAACTTGAAAAGAGAAACAGATGAGGAGCACCTGTAATGCGGAGATGTTTAATCGCTTGCTATCTAATGTTTGTTTGTTTGTTTTTTTAAACAACCATGTCAGAGCTTTTATAAAGCAAACGATATCGCCACGGCCATCTTTCTTTGACGATGGCCTTTGAAATCTACTTGAAAAGAACAAACTAGCTTTCTTACTCCTCGGCAACATGTTCACATAAGGAGTTAGTTACTCTCCAGCTGTAAAAGATTATGGAAACATCAACCTTAGCCTTTTTTGTCCTCTTGTCAGCAAGTGGATAGACAGGAGACTTTATTACCATTCTTCACATGAGCCTAGAAAAATGAGAAAAGCAGGATTCCAGAACTTCACTGTCAGTACAATAGCCACTAGCCACCTGTGGTTATTGGTTTCTTCAAATGTGGATAGTCTGAAATGAGGGAGACCACAAGTATAAAGTATATTGCAGATGTCAAAGACCTAGTACTATCAAGTATAAAAGCTCATTTATTTTGTTGATCATATATTGGCTAACAATTCGTAGATTGGTTGGTTTGAATTGTGTTATTTAAATTAACTTCACCTGTTTCTTTTTACTGTTTTTATCAGGAAATTGAAAATTATTTATGAGGCATGCATTATACTTCTACTGGACAGCTGCGCTAAGGAAGTTGCAGATTCTAAAAATATTAAATCTAAAATGAGTTACACAAACTTGGGAGGGTGGGCGTAGGGTCAAACTCTAAACAGCAAAAGGTGACTCTTACCTTCTCCTCTGATTCAGAGAAGAGAGGTCCAGGGTCTTCCTGTCGCGTCCAAATGCTGTGTGGCCAGGTGGTGTCATGGTTTGATATGGCAGATAAAATTTACCAAAATCCTTCCCCTTTCTATGCCTATTCCAAAGGCCTATAAACCCATTTTTTTAGCATGCAGGTCCTGAAATTAGTCTAGTGAAATCTAGGAGGTGGTAGAAGAGGACTCACACTCCCCTCTGCCCTTAAGCTGCTATTGAAGTCTTTAGGAATTTAACCAGAAGATCCACCTTGTTTCTTCACCAGGAACCCTTTGGGGATTTTAGAGTAGACCAAAGAAGCAGCAGTAATAAGAATAAAAATAATACAAGCATGCTTTCCTACTGGAATTTTTCCAATGCATAATTCATTTTATTTGATAATCTTTCTCCTAATAAGTTCCAGATGCTCCTTAGTTTTTGTTTTGTTTTGTTTTGTTTTCAGAAATTCAGCAAGTATTTATTGAGCATCAACTCTGTGCCAAGCACTATTCTAAACCCTAGAGATAATTGACCAAATAAAACGGGACAAATAGGGGGCCTCCCTGGTGGCACAGGGGCTAAAGTCTCAGTGTTATCAGGCTGTCGCCAGCCACTGGGAGCTGGCCCACATGGCACAGCAGACCTCTCCTGTCTTGCCCCCTGATCCCCTCAGCAGTGTATTTTAGTAGATCTGCCTGTTCTACTCCCGACTCTGTCTCTGGTGAATCCTCTCACCCCACCCCAGCCCCACACCTCTGGCCTACATCCCAGTTCTTGTGCATAAATAAAAATAAATCTTAAAAAAAAAAAAAACAAAAAACAGGACACATGGAACAGATGTCCTGGAGATACCCTAATGCTAAGTTGTAAATTATCAGGATAGTCCATGCATGGAATTAAGCAATGAATGACTGTAGTGTTAAAATTGTAAAGGATTGCACAGTACTTCGGTTACTTTCATCCATTGATTTTCATGTTTTATATTAAGGGTCAGCAAAGTACAAATGTGCCACAAAGAATACTCAGCTGCATGCCAATACACACTTCTACTGCTGCTCTGCCTTTGTTTACCTCTTGTAAGATATAGCTGCCTTATTGCACTTCCCTTCCAAAAACTTGCATAGTAAGCTTCCCAGCATGGGCAACAGAGACTTTCAGTCTCCGCATTCACGATGGATGTAGAGGGGAATCTTATGCCATCACTAGCCACATTTTATCACCTTTATTTAATTCTTGGTTTTTCTATTCTCTAAAAACAGCTCATTCTGTTGGTTAGTTAATGTATTAACTTTTCTATATCTGGAACCATTTTTCTTAACAAAATGAAATTCCTTTTGAGCTTTATGTTTAGTAGATTTCTATTTATCTAAAGAGAAGTTATTATTTCTGAAGCTACCTTAGAACTTTTATGATTCTCTCTGAAGGGAAAGTAGAACATCTTGTGTGGCAAATCACGTACTTTTTTAAAATCAGTGTTAAGCAGTTGCTGCATAACTTTAAACATCTGTGCTTTTGACCTGCTTTTTCATCCGAATATTGTAATGTATTTTTCAGGTTTTCAATTCAAAAACAGCCGAACTACTTAGTCATCATCAAGTAGAAATAAAACAAGAGTTTCCAAAAGAAGGGTAGGTAAATCTTTAATATATATAGATACATCATGTTTATTAGTCTTAACTCACTCTACCTGCCCTATGATTTTGTGAGGTAAACTTAACCAAATACCTTCCAGAGAAGGGTCAAGGGATAGCAATGACCTGGTAACAAGCAAAACTATATGGGGAGTCAATGGCTTAAGAATTCAATGATAGAAAAGAAGGGATGATAAAGTGATAACACAAGGGAGTATTAATATCAGAAATTTTACCTTGACTTTGAAGTCATCCAAACTGCTACATTCCTGATTTAACTGTAAGGTTTTTTTCCCTTAAATAAAGACATATTTTGTGTGTTTTTTTTTTTTTTAAAGCATTTGCAGATCTATCATCCTGTTTGGGAATAAGTGTCACATGTAGTAATTATGAATAAATATTAAGTACAGCCTTTAAAATTTAATGTTGATAATTGCAACCACTTTGAAAAACTGTTAATTCCTTATAAATGAACCATACATCTAGAGTATTCTACACTTAGGAATTATATAAGAGAAATGAAAGAAGCAATGTCTATAAAAAGATTTATACATGAGTTTTTATAGCAGCTTTATTCTAAGCATCCCAAACTGGAAACAACCCAAATGTCTGTCATCAGTAGAAAGGATGACAATCAAATACTATTAAGCAATTTTTAAAAAGTGAACTGATTCACACCACAATATGGATGAATCTCATTGATAGAATGGAAAGTGAAAAGAGCTGGAGGCAGAAGAGTACATACTCTTGCATAGCTCTATCTTGAATTCAAAAATAGACTAAACTAATCTAGGATGATAAAAACCAGAAAAGTGGATGCTCTGTGGAGTATGTGACTTATGTGAAAGAGGCATGAAACAACTTTCTGGAATGAGAAAATACTCTATATCTTGACTGAGATGTTGCTTAGCTGGGTGTGTGTGTGTGTGTATGTGTGTGTGTGTGTATATATATATATATATATATATATATAAATATAAATTATGAGCTTTAGATCTGTTCATTTCATTGTAAAGTTTATTTCAATTTAAGAAAGCAAAATGGTTCTTACCAAGTTGTATTGTTTTCTTTCCATGAAAAATGTTCTGCTATGTTTTAGAGAAATCTTTTGTTTAATAATGAAGCTATTGATGTGTTACCGGCATTTAAATGATTGTCCACAGACCTGATCTCAGTGCAATTTGAAGAGAAGATACCAGTGTCTTGGAGAGATGAAAATGAGAAATATGTTGAAGGAGATTAGTTTTTTAGAAAAAGATCATTCAGAGACAGAACTCCAAGCTCAGCAAAGGGGAATGTTTAGCAAGGCAGACCTGAAGAAGGCAGAGAGGAAATGCATTTGGAATTCCTTTGCAACTTCAATGTCCAGGGTAGTTTTCTTTTGGCTTATGTCATTCCAACTTTGGGATTTCCTCTTACTGCCATTTATTTATCCTCAGTTTCTCTTCCTTGTCATTTTTTGTGAGCCTTTTTATCCGTCTGAAGCCTGGTATCTTACCAAAATTGCATTGGGATTGGATCTGAAAAACTTGTACCAATCACTCATCTACATGAAATAGTTGTTTGAACAAATTTAAATTTTTCCTCTAAATTCTAACGAAGTGTTTTGTTGGGAAATGCAAAGGGATTAGTATGCTTACTTGACTTTTCAAAATTCCTTTTGCTAAATAAATTTAGTTAGAAATACCTAGTGAAACATGCATTTTATCAAAATCCATGAAACCTACATGATAAAAGAATTTGGGAACTAATTTGATACTGGATTTGAAAAAAATATTTAAAAATAGTTAGAATGCTTGTTATTCATGACTTTATATTCCTTGCTTCCTTTCAAATGATTAATTCCTGTATAAAGAATAATAAAAATATAAGGGAACTAGACTTTTCTTCAAATCCTCTCTTTAGATTATTAGATGTGCTTTGATTTGCCTATATAATTTTCTTTATGTGCCAGCCACACTTTCATAAGTGTACATTTCTAGAGAAATAAATGACATTTGTATTGCTTTCTTATGGACTAACCAAATGCATTCTTTTGTTCAAAGATGGGTGGAACAAGATCCTAAGGAAATTCTGCAGTCTGTCTATGAGTGTATAGAGAAAACTTGTGAGAAACTTGGACAGCTCAATATTGATATTTCCAACATAAAAGGTATTTTTCATAGACTGTTTTACTCCGTGGTGTGATTATCTTAGTCATCGTCATTAATGCATTCACTTGCCTCAAAATTGACGGCAAAGGTCCTATGGTGGGAATACCCTTGGCACATTCCTGGATGGAAAGAAGGCCAGTAGGCCAAATGTAGAGTAAAATCAGCTGAGGGTTGAGGGTGCTTGAGTGAGGGGTTTCAATAGGACTGGAATCAGGAGAGTGAACAGGCCCTTGGCAGCCATAGTTAGAACTTTGGGGGTGTTCTTAGTGTCACAGGGAGCCACGAGAAGCTTTTAAGCAAGGCAGCAGCAGGTGGTAGTACCTGAATTTGCAGTTTAAAAACAAATTTGTGACTAGGAGTAAGTGTGGACACCAGCACCAGTGTGGTGGTGGCTGTCTCCTCTGAGAGAGGAGATGATGACTTGACTGACAGTGGTAGAGGAGGGGTAGAGGTGAGGATAAAGGACCAGGGCTTGCTAATGGGTGGGATGGAAGGTAGTAGAGAGTGGGGAAGAGTTGGGTTCGAAACAATGGTTGTGGTTTTGCTGGAGCTCCTAGATAGATGAGGATGTTTTTTTACTGAAGAGAGACTAGAAGAAGGAGCAGTGGAGGGCTTACTTGGAATCAACAGTTGTAAAATCTCCCTGAATTGTTTGTTAGAGTCTTATAGATGTTTCTGTTAATTCCTCATAGTTTCAATAGACTATCTAAGATCGGTTTTGTGTCACTCATATAGGGGAAAAAATAAACCCTGACATCTAAGATTGATATACTAGTGTAAAGAGCAAAAATGCAATATGATAATTACCACGTTTTTATATTTAAAATTTTCCAAGTTCATCATTCAAGGGCTATTAGTGGTTCTAGATAGGAGAGTTATTAATACTCCTGAGTGGAAACTTGGTTGTTTTTTTTTTTCAGGCCTTTCCCTATTTGTATAAGAAGTCTAAACATTCATTTTTAAGAAGTTTAAACACAATCAAGCCATTCATTCAGCATGCTCATAAAGCGCCTACTATGTGCTCATGTGCTAGGGATACAATCAAATAGAGTCATGAAGCTTACAATCAATGGGGGAAGCAGATGTTAATCCAGTAGTCACAAATTATTGGAAAGTCATAGCAATAATATTGTTATTTCTGTCATTGTAGATTTTTTAAAAGAAATCAGCTGCCATGTATGATTTGATATTTTGCTAACAGTTTTTAAATATCCTACACTCCTTTTATCCCTGCAGCTAAGTGCAAATGTTCAAACTTCTTTTAGAGTTGCATTGACCATGTTTTAGATGAGTTGTGTGTCAAAGTGATTGTTAGTTGTCTCTTTGAACTGTTCTTACAAACTTTCAGTCTAAACAGCATACACACCTAAGAGGCCTTCACTGCCACACACTTGTCAAAAGATCCATTACCAAAGACGTAAATAATCTAGGTGGCTGGAAGCTATGTTCAGGATGTAGATACCTGGGATTGGCTGTGGTTTTGATATCATTCTACCCCTCCCCCCTTACAAATAAGGTAGGCTGCCATGTGTTGGTCTTCTGTACCAAGTCACGTGCCAGTCCTTTTTGTCTTTGTTTTTATGGTATATGTAAAGAGGACACATGACTTGTCCATGTGATGGGCCTTCTTCTTGGCCTAGCTGGTGTGTTAGGGTCCTGAACATGCAGCCCTCTTCTCTGCGCTCCTCTGTGTCTGGCGGCTATTGGGAAACCCAAACCTGAGTCAGTGACCCAACCCTTCCTTCTCCACGACTACCAGCCTATGGCCAAGGAAGAGAACTTTCCACAAGCCCCTCCATAGCAAGCCAGTAATGCTATTTCCCCCCACACCAGGTAACTTTATTGAGTTGGCACTGCCAAGGGCCAACCTTTGCTTGCTTGCTTAAAGGATCTTCTGTCATCTAGACCTAGTTGCAAATGAGGGAAAGGAACTTAGCACAGGTGTGTAGCCATTTAGGGTTGGAGAGCATTACAGCATGGTTCCCATCTGCTAGCCCAGTGTTCTTTTTCCTGAACACTGATAGGAACCTCACAAGTTGCTCCAGTTTTTAGTTCCAGTATGGCAAGGAAAGTACCAATTCCTTCATCGACTTTCCTGATCATCATTAACAAAATTCATCATAGCTCCTTGTATCTCTGTTGGTAAATTCCAATTTTATTGGTTCTAGCTGTCCTCATCTGTCAGAAAGTTTGTTGATTCTGGGTCCCTAGGAGCAACGCCTCCATAAGGAAAGCCCACTCTCCAGCTGAACACCACACACATCACCACACACTGTTGCTGCTTTTGCGGGAGACACAGAGTTAGGGCAGCTCTGTTTATTAGCCACTGGACTAAAGAAACTACAAAGTATCACAAATTACAACACCAGATACTCTTATTCATCCTCTCTCAAGTGATACAAACAAAGCACAACATAAACTGTTACAAAGCTGAGAGCATGTAGCAAAAGTATTTCACTATTCTAGAAAAGCGAAACCCCACACCCGTTCCTCCACTGCCTTTCCCTGTCCAACACATCCACACCCATTCCTGTCACCTCTCAGATTTCTGCTCTGAGGGGCCCCAGAAAGACACCCCATTCTTGGAAATAACTCCCCAGCAGCAGCCACATGTTGCAATTGCTATAAGTTACCTCAAGCACACGTATTTCAGGGACCATTTTCTTAAAAACTTTAAACCTCTTTCCACACAGCACTTCTAGTAGCCTCACAGCCTTCTGGGGCTTTTATTATTTGCTATGTGTGTTTTCTCAAAAACATGCACCAGGGCCTCCCGGTGGCACAAGGGGTTAAGACACAACCTATGAAGCTATCCACAGTCACTGCAGCACCAGTTCAATCCCCAGCCAGGAAGCCACTCACATGGCGCGGCAGACCTCTCCTGACTCGCCCGCTGCTCCCCTCAGCCGTGTATTTCAGTCAGTCTGCCTGTTCTGTTCCCCACTCTGTCTCTGGTGAATCCTCTCACCACCCACACTTCTGGCATGTACACCAGTTCTTGTATGCATGCATAAGTAAATAAATCTTTTAAAAAAATGCTCCAATTATAAATTATGGTTTTATTTTCAAAGAAGGATTCATGTCATCCATAAATCCTTCAAGGCAGCAATTAGTAATACCCTGGAGCATTTCCAAGGTTTTTTTTTTTTTCCCCCCTGAGTATGTTTTCTTAACTGTGATTATAAATTTTCACAGTCAATTTTAACCAAAATGTAACCAGGTTTTGAATGTAGCATTTAACTAGTTAATTTTACTAGTGACCATATAGGAAAAATACCTCCTGAGAAAGTATATGTAGGTGAAATACAAACCGGCTAGAGAGAAGAGTAATACATTGAGTTTTATCTATGCCAGTGGTTACAGTATCTACAACTAAAAGACTATAAGGCTGGTAAATACATACGTGTGACTTTCCTATGCTCCTCAATAGTTTCAATGAACTAGGGTGGAGAAACCTCATCTGTTATTATGAGAAAGAGGGCATGAAAATGAGGGCCTATTAAGAAAGACTCATGTGCTGGGATTAGCAGTCAGAAAAGTTCTCTTTAAAAACCATAGAGGATGTTAGGGGGGAAATGACAAGAAGTTAGAACATCAAAAAAAGTTCAAGCACTGCCTAAGAGCTGTGTGCCCTGGGGGAAACCAGTCATGAAGGCATTTGTGGCTGGAAGAGAATCCCAAGAAACTATTTCACTGAACTCTTGATAAGGAGATAAGTGACTGTACTTGGAGAAGGAATGGAATTAGGAGAGGAAATAGGGAGTGGTCAGGGAGGGACCTGGGGTCAAAGAATCAGATCCGAAGAGCTCTAGATTCCATTCTGAATACAAGTTTCAATGAGCCAATAAAGAAGGTAGTGCATGTCTGAGAAAAGAAAGCAAACTCTGTAAAAAAAAATTGCTAATAATAATAAGAAGAAGAAAGGTAGCGTTACAGTGTCTGAGGGCTGCGGGTAGGGGAACAGCCAGCTTGTTCATGGAAAATGGATGCCGTGGGGAGGAATAGATGTTGTGGGCCACAAAGTAAGAGTGAGCCCACACTGAGCATGGTCACAAAGTAGTGTGTTTACAGTACTCTATCTTAGCAACTGGGGCTGAGTCTCTGGCCTCTGTTGTGCCCACGGTGCTGCTGGCAAATTCCTTATGTGTCCTGCAAAACTTGGTCTCATTCTCTGCGACGGTTACTATTCTGCTCGCTCCTCAACAGTAATGAGGACATGGCAGCAGTAATATTAATTGAGGCTTATCCTCTGCCAGGCACTGTTTGAATATGCATTAGCCCAGGGCCACCTCTCTGTAATCCTTTAAGGTGGAAACATTATTATCTCCATTTTAAAAATAAGAAAACTAAGACCCAGGGTCCCACTGCTAGGAAGCAGAGAAATTGGAATTTGCACCCCAGCAGTCTGGGGTTCTGAGCTCTGTGGAACAGTGCCCCCCATATTCACAATCCTACTTTTGCTGGCTCCATTTCAGCAGATAAGCCTTGCGCTACTTCACAGAGAAAGTTGAGGCACTGGGGCCTCATTCTTCAACTTCCTGTTCTTGAATTTAAATGCTGGCTCTCTAATCCCTTTCCCTCTAGCCGGAGGGAAGCCACAGCCAACCGCCCTGCCTGAGGCACTTCCTCCCAGCTGGGCATTAACCCCCACCCACTCCTGCCACTACAAGGATCAGGGTCAGGTCCCATTGGATCCCAGCCCCCGCCCCCTGAGCTCTCCTTTCTCTTCCTTCTTATTTCCCCCAACATTTTTGTCTTCTGTTATTAAAATGACATCTCCAAATCTCCTTTCACCCAATGCCTCTGAATTCCCCTGGAGTCCAATCTCTCATCTTTGTACCTCTAGGAAAGGTGTTAGAGTAAGTCAATCTGCATTGCGTGACTATTTACAAGCAAAGTGCTGGTTCCCCTTAACTCTGTGTTAACCAGAGCACTCCTATTGTGTTGTATTTGGGGTGTATGATTTGAATAATACAGGTAGTTACGTTTTCCCAGTAGAGAGGGTGAAAGTGTTAGGGGGAAATGATGTCCTGAGTTAATCCCAAACAAAAGGACTGTAAACCATGCCATAGGGAGGGCAGCTGAAGGTAATGGAATTATTTAACAGACAGGGGAAGCAAAGACTTAAAGGACAAAATACTTGTTTCAAATTGTGAAAGACTGGTATGTGGAAAACGAACCAATCTTGTTCTAAATATCTCCAAAGAATATAGCTAAGATCTGTAGATAGAAACTATCAGGAAAAGGATTTTTTTTTTTTTAATATTGAAGCTGTTCAATAGAGGTTTGTCTGCTTGGAGAGAGATAGTAAATGTCTTGTCACTAGACAAGCTGTTCAAAAGGTCACATGACAGGTGATTCTAGAGATTTGAGCCCAACATTTGTCATTGATGCTATAACCTTGAAGGCATGTCCTATTCTTAAATTCTGGAAGAGCTCAGTCCAGCAGTGTATTCAATCCAGGCTGCACATTACAATCACTTAAATACCAAATGCTCAGATTCCACCACAAGGCAGTTAAATTGGAATATTTCAGCAGCCAGCCCTGAGCATTTTAATTTTTTTTTTCAAATTCTGCAGTTGATTCTAATGTTATAGGACAGGGAGAGGGGCAGCCCAAACCCCGCAAACCTGCCTATTCTAAATGGGTTCTGCCATCCGCCGCATCAACACAAAACATATGAGACTTTAATGGGAAGGAACTTTAATAAAAACTAGGAAACAATACAGGTGAGGCAAAGAGTCTAGTTTCTAAATGAAGCACCCAAAGTTACCCGTCCCCTCGTGGGTAAAACTCCATCCATATGGTGTCGGCTCAGAGCAAGGCCCCAAAGCCTGCCACAAGTCTAAAACATCTTCCAGTGGGGACCCACAGAAAAGGGTCACAAACAACCGGACAAGCCTGGAAGGAAAAGAGCAAAATCAACATCCAGATAAAAGCTGCCATGGTCACCTCCCCACGGGTCTCACCCACATCTGTGTCACCCAGTCCACGACCAAAAGACAAGCGCAGTTTCTTCACGTGTCTCTAGGCTCCATGCGCCTCCTCCAGGTCTCCTGGCTCCATCCTGCTTCCTTCCTTCCTCAGTCTCTTCTGCAGCTTCTCTTCCTGCTCAGCTCCACCCTCCCTTGGGTGGGGCAGGGAACCTCCCCTTTTCCTGGGGACCACCCTGTTACACTAACACACAACCAATTCAGGAACTCTGAGTCAGCAGAACCATGCTGAATGGAATAAGATGGTATCGATTAGTATATTACTGAGAGTAATTTACTGTAACTATAGCCCTTGAGTTGTATGTAGGTCACTATAATGTAAATACCATTACATGTTGTATTTACACCCGACCCAAACTCGTGTGTCTTGTAACAGATTATTAAAATATAGGAATAAAACTGCATGTCCAACTAACCACACAGGATGAGGTTGCCCGGCTTGAGGGCTTTTTTATCTGTGGCCTTTTTTTCTTTTTAAGATTTATTTATTTATGCATATAAGAACTGGAGTACAGGCTGGGGGTGGGGGGTGGGGGGTGAGAGGATTCACCAGAGACAGATTGGGGAACAGAACAGGCAGATCGATGGAAATACACTGCTGAGGAGAGCAGGGGGTGAGACAGGAGAGGTCTGCTACACCATGTGGGTAGCTCCCTAGCTGGGGATTAACTCGTGCTGCAGTGGATAGCTGTAGATAGCTTCATAGGTTGGGTCTTAACCCCTTGCACCACCAGGGAGGCCCTGCGGCCTTTTTCTTAAAATGCAGACTCATGCACAGGGGAATTTCTTGTAGCAGTCAGTAAATAAAGGAGTAAGGTGAATGGCCTCGTAATAATAAATTGGGTACTATAAATTTGTCAAGTCACTGCATTCTCTTTTTATAAGGCAATCTGGGAGGTTTTCATTTGGGTCCATTTCATCATGTGCTGGTAGTGAAGTGGGAATAAATCTGTAGAAATAAAATGAAACACTTGACATTGGGTGTTCAATTTTTCCAGGGTCATGCAAAGAAAATAAACACTACAAATATTCCAAATGTTTTTTTTAAAATTGTTGTGTTTAGCTATGCCTGTAAAAAAAAAAAAAAAAAAAAAAAACCATGAGAACTATTCTGAAGTCGTTTTCTACTTGTTTAATTTTCTACTCCTGTCTGTTTAACTTTTCCTTTAAAGCTATTGGTGTTAGTAACCAGAGGGAAACCACGGTAGTCTGGGACAAGCTGACCGGAGAACCGCTCTACAATGCTATGGGTAAGCTGGCATGCATGAAGGTCAAATGCGAGGCCTTGCTCCATTCGCAAATGCTGTCACCTAAAATTTCTGGCTAAAAAAGCATGCAGCTGGGTTTCCTTTAATCTGATGGGATGAGAGATGAGTCTTCCAGGAAATTAGTTGTACATATTCACTCTTTCCAGCTATATATTCACATATTGAATTAACTCTCTCCCTTTCTGAATGATTTGTGTTATAAAAATGAATCAATGTTACCAGAACCATTTCATAATCCCTGCAGTTTCTGATACCTGAATGTGATCTCACCTACTCCTCCCCTCAAAAGTGAAAATTACGAATGGTCACAGTCATCTCTCTGTAAAGTCCTTGTATAGATATTCCTCCCATAAAGGAATCTGAATCGATTCTTCTGAGGTTATGAAAATTAAATCTCAGAACCTTAGCACCTGCTACAAATTTGTATATTTCAGCAGGAGTTCCAAAACTCAACATTCCAAACATTCCTCTGTTAGGTATCACATCTCATTAAATGTGAACACCTTGGGTATATTTTAGCATTACTCCTAGCATATTACAATTGAGCACTGAATGATACTGTCACTTGCTAAAAAGAAAATTTTGTTCTAAATCTACAATAGCTACAAGGCATCATTTTGTCACAAATCAAAGCATATCTTTTTTGTGTCAAAATACCGGGTGGGGAGTGAGGGATGAAATCAAGGCAGAAATTGTCAGAGATGGATGATTTACAGTATGAGTTATTTTCACTGTACACTTACTTTAGTGACAAAGTTAATTTAGTAGTGATTAGAAGAAAGTAATATTCAAGCAGAAAATATACTGAAAAGGTACTGGTAAGAGTAGCATGAATTCTTTGGAAATATTCTTTGTAGAAAATTAACATAACTAATGTTATTGTGTGTTAAGAAAGTTTTTAGTATATCCCCTGTATTTGTGATTTAAAAAGACTCAAAAAATGTCAAAGAATTGCAGCCAAAGGGCCTGTGACACAAAAGTACGTCTCTTAACTATTTTGTTCTCATTCTCACAAGCATCTTATTTTGAATATAAGTAAAATATAATATTTTAATTGTAATGACTTATCCATAGCAAAGTAGTCTGTCACAGATTGATTTTAGCCAACTTCTTGAACAAGTTGGGGTTTTCCTTTTTTAATTTTTTTCCCTTGTAAAAGAAAGGATGTACTTAAGGTCCTTCTAGAAAGTTCCTGTTAAATTTTGAATTGTAAAAAATGCAACTTTGGACTTTGAGTTGTTATTTAATTTATTTTTTTATTTGAGTTGTCATCTTAATATAATGCAACTAGGCTAGTTAAAGTTTTGCCTACAGTGAAGGATTTCAGTAAATATTTTACCAAACTTTTTTCCTGTGATGTACTTATTTATTCATATCCTTTTCTTCTGTGTTCCTCTGTATCCCTTCCCCATTCTCTATGCTTTGGAGTATTAATTCAAACTATACCTATGATATATAAGAACTTTTTTCTACATTGAAACCATGTGTATGTTTGAAAAACCTCTCAATTGTTTGGTGCTATGCTTGGTGTTATAAAGGATACTAATTATTGGCTGTTTTGGTAACTGCTTTATAATCTAGTTTTCAAGAGACTAATACAAAATTTGATAATAGTTGATAAATTATGTGCTGCTAAATTGAATAGAAATTAGAGCAATCGTATGCCAGTATGGAATTTGAATTTTTGGCATATCTCTGGGGGAGGCTGAGCTCTCTTTGAGGAGACTTTGAGAGTATGTTGGATTACATTAAGAAAAGGCAGAATCGAGGGACAGTGTGAGCAGACTATGAAGGTGAAAATGTGTACACATATTTCACCAAAAAGTGAGGAATCTGATTAGATTCAAGCACCTGATGACTTCCCATTTATTAGTTATAGTAGAACTAGCAGTGATAATAGTGCTCAGTCAGTAATAACTTTTGTTACTATGCACTAGGGATTGTGCTAAATATTTTATCTGTAGTATTTCATCTCAGCACCCTTGTGTAGCATTTTACTAGCCTTGTTTTAGAAATAAATTATGCAAAAGGTATATAACTTGTCCAATGTCATGTAGCTATAGGGGCAAAGCCACAGTCTAAATATAAATCTCCCCAACCCAAACGCTTATGTTCTAATTTGGACAGGGGTTGGTCAGGAAAGCCAGGCCCAGCAGTATAGACTTGAAACACTGTGAAGCTTGGAGCAAAGTGGGTAGTAAGGGGGTGTTTAGCTTCCCACAGTGGTGGGATTAGTTATTTCAAATCCACATATCTGCTGAGAACAGCTAGAAATACTGGACTCCAACCCTCCAAAAAAAATCCTCTGTCTGGAAGGCTACTAAAGCCACAAGGAATTATAGGAGCAGGATCCAGGAGGGCCCAGAGGAGAGCCCAGAGGTGTAAGCCTGTATTTGGTGTTGCTTATTTCCTAGAGATGTCCATAGATTCTGAAAGGAGTGTTTCAGAGTCCAAGCAGCAATTTCATAGGTTCATGAAGATAGGAAGGCACAAGTTGGCATCAGTGACTGCTGAGGGTTGGGAGGAATAAAACCCTAGACTTTTTTTAAGATTTATTTTATCTATTTATTTATGCATACAAGAAGTTGGGTGTAGGCCAGAGGTGGCAGGTGAGAGGACTCACCAGAGACAGAGTAGGGAAAAGAGCAGGCAAATTGACTGAAACACAGTTCTGAGGGGAGCAGCAGGTGAGACAGGAGAGGTCTGCTGTGCCATGTGGGTTGCTCCCTGGCCGGGGATCAAACTCGTGCTGCAGTGGCTGCGGATAGCTTCATAGTACTGAGACTTAACCCCTTGATAATCAGACATACAAAAAGTGACATGACTAAATCCAGCAGAAGCAAGTGATATTTGAAACAGCCCATACAAAATCTGATTAGCAGACTCTGAAATAGCCATAATTAACAAGTCCAAGGAATTCAATGACAAGACAAGTAATCTTAGCTAAAAAATCCTGGAAATTTTAAAATGAAATTTCTAGAACTGTATTAAAGACTCAGTTGCTGAGTTTACATCAGATTAGGCATAGCTGAAGATGAGTTAGTGAAATAGAAGAGAGATTGATCAGAAGTAAACAATCATATTAAAGCACAGAGAGACAAAGATTTAGGAAATACAGGGGGAAATCTGAGAGAAATATGGGACAAAGTAAGAAAGTCCAACGTATTTGTAATTGGAGTCCTAGAAGGAAAGGAAAGATAGTGTACTAAGTTTCTGCAAATGCATGGCAGGTATCAAGCCACATATGCGAGAAGCACTATGAGCCCCAGCCAAGATTATTACGATACATAAATATATGCTGAGACCTGAAGATAAAAAGAAAAATTTAAAGTAGCCAGAGGAAAAATAGACTAAAAGCTGTGAGAGAAGGAATAATTAGCTGGGAAGAGAGGCCACTAACTAATGACAAGTCAAGAATCAGCCTTCAATTTTATTTCATCCAGGAAAACACGAAGGTGTCATTTGTCCAGGCAGTTCTTCAGTTGAGAATATCAACATAATAGTAAATCTTTAACAGCTTTATCTTAAAACAACACAGGGTGGAATTGATGGAAACAGATTTCTCACTTATTCTTGTCTTTGAGCTACTTTGTTTATATCAGTCTCTGAGTTTCATGGTTTTTTCCTCTCTCTCTGTATGTTTTCTTCCTTCCTTGTCTCTTTCTCTTATAAATCGCTGCCTCTCTGGGCCTGTCCTTCTTCATTTTTCTCTCTTTGCTAACTAATCATATAACTGATGTGCAATATTTGTTATAGATAAGCAAATGAGAGGAGCAGTCTACATGTCTCTTTTTTAAAAATTGTTGCGTGGCCTTCCTTCTTATGGCTCAGGGTTCCTTGATAAGCAGTCGGCTCACTAGCCCCTCAGTACAGCACTAGAGATAGAATTTCAGGGTGCTATTAGTGAATGGGAAATAGGCTTGTTGAAGTTTAAGACAGAGAAAGGCTGTTCTTGCCTGCCATAAAGGCATGCTGTTTACTGACATCTTTCATAATGGATCTAATTATAAACATAAGAAAGTATAAATACATCCATTGAGGCACAGGCAGCCTGTTTTAGAAGTTTCATATAGTTTTTGAATGCATGTGCTTGATGACCAAGGGGAGCATTGGTGTGGCACCTCAAATGAAGTGTCACTTTGCATTGCCACCTCCCAGTCACCCCGCCATGCTGCAGCCATTTACTCTGGTGACCTTACTGGTAGATGGCAGGAGCTTTGTGGCCCTGGATCTGAAGCAGGTCTTCAGCTTCTCTCACCTTTCTTCTGTTACTCTCATCCCTCTGGTACTTTTCTTTCTCCCATTTAGCATTTTCTTCGTCAATGTTCTCTTCCAAAGGGTTCCCTCACCCCATGCCCCATGTTTCTAAGCATTTTTCTTCCCCAAACCACCTTTTACCTAGTAGTCTATATACTTTGCTGTCTTCTAAGTATTACTGAAAAAGGGTTTGAGTTTACCAATACACACACCACAGGCCAAATCGATAAAGCAGCACAAAACTGCCCAGTGGTTCAAATGTCAAGTGGGGGAAGGTTTGAATCAGTGATATTTAGCATGTTCAGTGGCACATTTCACTGATGTTACCAGGGGCATGTCCTGGCCTGTGGGGTGGCCCACTGCCTCCTCCTGCTTGGCCAGGTTTTGTCTCTCACTACTGCAGTGGATCGGTGTGCATGGCAAGACTGGTGCCATATGACACCCCCCCCCAGTAGCTCCCAATATAGCACGATTCATGATTTAATATAAAATTTGTAGTAAAGACACATATCCAGGGAGGCAGGAGTCACTGGCTGGAAGACCTTTTGTGTATTCAAGAAAACCACCAACAAATCATTTGTCTCTGAGCCATTCTTCCCTATTGAAATAGGATCATAAACATTTTTTCTAAGATGATGGAGTTCAGGTACCCCATGACATATAATTTTTCATGAGGAGTGCTGCAATTCTAAATACTGCTCATCTCTTTGGCTTTTTTTTTTTTT